TACAAATAATATTAAAAACTATTTACAAAATAAGCTTGTCAGTCATTTCTCCACAGACATTGTATTGGATGAAAACTCGATCATCTAGAATGCACTCATTAGTATTAGAATTAACAACTGAAATCGAAAACAGACTCGTCTGCTTCCTGGGATTTTGTACAATCATCATGTCGGTTGTGTACTGAAATCGCTGCTACCTAGAATTTGAACCATAGACTTTTAGACTATCGTCCCCCATCAAATAATGTTGAATCTTTATATCCCCAAGTTATGAATGAATTGGCCTCAATTAAAACATATTTCTCACGTTGGTTAAAGTAAAAACTAAAGTGTCTTTGTGACAAGGATAAACAGCAGTTGATATGAACTCATCCAGGTTGTAATCGAAATCGAGGTCATTTAGTACTTGTGCTTTGCATTGAACAAGTTTCCCACAAGAAACAAATGCATTGTGAGGACAATAAATAATAATAATAATAGTTTATTCTCAAATAACAGTTTGTTACATGAGGCATGCCAGTTTACAGGCAAGATCAAATTGATACAAATGATACAATATTCACTGTAGTAAATTACATAGCTGGGTTGATAATTTATGAGATATGAATGTAGATGGTTTTAAGCAGTTCTACAGTTGGCGCGCTTCATGAAAGTTGCGTTGCAAATGTGCGACTGGTGGTCAAGGATAGGTCCATTGAAGGTATGAGCTTCTAGAAATCGCAACCTTATGTCCCTTTAGAATATCCAAGGCTTTAAGGATGGTGCAGGATGAAGTCACCCGTTCCATATCTCAAGGGGGCTGAAAGAGGGAGCAAGTAAAAGAAAACACGAGGGGCAGAGTAGCCAACATTCATGAAGGAATGTTCAAGGTATGATTACTCAGTCTAATTTTCTTTTATTAAGGTATTTGTTAAGAAATCGCATTTTAATAGGTTAAAGAAAATAAGTGTTAACAAGGTGTGAGTGGACATACAACTGACAAATGGAGGCGATTCGTAAAGGAGCTGAAAGTATGGGATTATTTGTGATTATAAAATAAAATATAGTGCTAGAAACAGTATTGTGATATACAATTGGCTATCTTCCTTTTATTATCGAAGCTATTAGAGCCCCTTTCGTTTTTTTTGTATTATTTTTTTTTCAGGTATTATAGGGTCTTGAGTAGGCTTCGTATATTAGCGAATTGTCTAGTTTGCTTGTAATAGGATTTCTGGGTAGGAAGTGAAACCAATTCAACGTTCGTAACACGATTTAAAGAGGTATTTTGCGTGATAAATCAGCATCAATACCATAAGTTCGTGACATCCCACTAAAACATAAGGAGCCGTAATTAAACAAAATGTTCTGCCCTACAGACATGGGTGGATTGAAGTTATCTCCCCACCTTCATGTTTGCTGGTCAGTAACGCCACCCTCCCTCCTTTTGTGATGTTAGGCTCTCTTACGTTTGTGGTAAGTATGAATACTGCTTTAATCAAAGCCCATAGTTGGAATACACTGTCTCTACTAGGTCCATGTTACAAGCAAATCAGATAGTTGAAAAGTCTTTTTTGGGTTAGATGTCCATATAGTATATCACACTGCTATGAAAATAACTAATGGTTTAAAGAAGTAAGGACTAATAGCAAATCAAAAGATATGAGAGGGTATAAAATTGTAGAAAGAAAAAAAAAGATTTCAGGGTAAGACAAATAAAACATTGAGAAACTCACAAGACTTTGTGGCCAAATTTTGAGCTTTGTATGATCGGCCTTAGTAGATCAGCATCCATAAGGTTGAGCTATCTGTCTACTTGCAGTAGAAAAAAAAGCATGACTTTTAGGAAGAATAATGTACATTTAACCTGTAGAGATTTGGGGACTGAAAGCTAGGGTTAGGAGCATGAAGTCATGATTAATAAACAATGAATAATAGGAAAGGATAGGCCATATATTCTGTGATTTGGTTATATTCATATTAGTAACAGTCGAACTTGTTATAATTTTGTTCTTTCTAGATACTAGGCGGTCCGTAATAAAGTGCCTCATTGGTGGGCGGGAGTTCAAGGAAATGTTGAAGCTCTTTGGAGTCTAGAAATAGGGTTATTAGCTTTTTGAATCTGGTAAACGTATCACAGTTACGGATAGGCATTGGCAGCCTGTTCCACAATAAACTGTACCGTACTGTAAAAAACTTACAACGCATTTGTTTTTGGTGTTTTACGGTAAGTAGTGTATATGCGTTGTTTCTAAGTCTATAGGCTGGGTCGTGGGTGATAGTCGGGCAGGAGGTTAGAAAGGAGAGCCCATATATCGCTTTGTAGAGAAATATTAAATTGTTTTTTAGCCTACGGTGCCATAAAGGTTCTAAAGATAGATGCTTACATCTGTCTGTGTAATCGAGATTCGAGTTACATCCTAGTAGTTGACGTGTGAAACGTCTTTGAACATCTTCTACTCTTATCTTGTCTGCGATATTCATATTAGAGAAGACAAAAGAGCAGTATTCAAGGGAGGGTCGTACACATATTTTGTAGAGAGTAAGTTTACCCTCTGTTGTGAAAAAGTTTTTCATTATAAAACCAATTAGCCGTCTAGATTTAGAAATAATAGAGGAGGCATGTTCTTCAAAGTTTAGGCTTCCTGTGTAATTAATTCCTAAATCGTGTACTGATTCGAATGTTTGGACTCTACATTCATTTAAGTGAAGTCGCGGTTTATAGGGATGCTTTCCAAAGTGCATGATCCCGCACTTGTTGAGGTTAAATGGTAATTGCCATTTTTCACTCCATATAGTTAAGTTATTGAGGTCCTTTTGGATCTGGGATACACTTTCGCTTAGTGTCTCAGGCTTATAGCTGTATACTATTTTGAGATCATCAGCATATAAGTATGGTTTCCCAAATTCTATGGTGTTACATATATCGTTTATATACATAAGAAACAAAAGTGGACCTAATACGCTTCCCTGGATGACTCCACTGGTGATTGGTCTAGGGGACGAGAGACAGTCATTGTACTTTACCATCTGTTTACGTTCTGTTAAGAACGAAGCAAACCATGAGTACAGTGGGTTGTGTATTCCGAAGGACTTTAGTTTGACGAGTAGCCTTTTGTGTGGGACCTTATCAAAGGCTTTCTTAAAGTCTAGGAATAGGACTGATACAAGGAGTCCGCTGTCTCGTTTCAGAGTTATATCATTCAGGTAGTCTACTAGGCATGTATCGCATGATCTGGACCTAAGAAATCCATGCTGGGAGGTCGAGATGAGATTATTAGTTAGTAGATGTTGGACTACAGCCGCCTTAACTACTTTTTCCATCACTCTGGATACCACTGAAGTTATGTTTATAGGCCGGTAATTTTCAACGTTTGCTTCAGGTCCTGTTTTAATTTTGGGAATGATATGTGTAGTTTTCCAGGCAGTAGGGTAACACGCTGAAGAGAGTGATATCGCGAATAGTTTGAGAAGCAAAACACACATATCATCACCTCCACGTTTTAGCATGCTAGATGGGATACCATCTGGTCCATCAGTGTAGGAGTGTTTCAATGTACTGATTGCCTTGGAGATATTTTGTACACTGAATTCTACATTAGTAATTTCACAGGGAGTTACTGGGATTGGTTCTGAATCATTAAATGGTTTTTCGTTAGTTAGTGAGAAACAAAAATGTTCACTAAATAATTCTGTGATAAGTTTGGGATCTTCGTATACTTGTTTGCCTTTAATGAATATACTCCCTCTCGATTTAGAGCGTTTAAGTTTATTTTGGAGTAGTATGGTGAGTGCAGAGGAGTTATTATTAAGTTCAACTGCACGTTTTTCCTGTGCTACTGCTTTTTGTTTACTTATTGCCTCTGTTCGGACAAGTATTTCTGTCATCGTTACTAAAGAGGAAAAGTCATTTAAGTTGTGGAATCGAGTACAATGTCTTTGAAGACGTCTTCTTGTACTGACCGGTATATAGAGATCTTTGGAGAACGTAGGTTTACAGTATTCTAAAGGTGCGATGTTGTTGATGATACTTTTGATGTTGTGATAAAATATATTGGTTAATGTGTCGGTATTGTTTGAGGTAAAGAAAGTTCTCCAATCAGTGCTTCTTAAGTAATTGTGGAAGTTATTCCAATCAACCTTGCGATAGTTTCTACGAAGTGTTACGGTTTTACTTCTATCGGTTGTGGTTTTTACATTAAGGCTGCATATGACAATGTTGTGATCACTACCTGGGAACTTTTTTCCAATATACAAAGTATTGGGGATGAGGCCACTGGTAAAGACTAAGTCTAAGATGTTTTGATGTCTGGTAGGGCTATCGACATACTGAGTCCATTGTCCGAGCTCTAGACATTCAATAAATGATTCATAACGTCTCGGCGCTTTGACTGGCAGCCAAGAAATTTCGGGCATATTGAAGTCACCACAAATGAGCTTGCCTGTGAATGAGAGGGATGATGCTAGTGTGAATACCTCCGATAATACTGCTATTTCATCTATTGATGCGTTAGGTTGACGATAAACACAGCCGAGCAGTAAGGTAACGGAATTCGACGGCTTTAATACAATCCACACCGAATCCTTCAGTTTGTTTAGTTCAGGCATATCACATAGCAGTGAGTTTAGGCTAGAGTGAGCGTAAATAAGGCATCCTCCGCCTCGTCCATTCAATCTATCGCTTCTATATAGGGAATAGTTATCAAGAGATATACTTCGGTCGGAAATATTACTGTTAGTCCATGCTTCAGATATCATAATAACTGATGGTTGATATATGGATACAAACAGGGCTAAATCCGTCTTTTTGTTGCAGATCGATCGAGCGTTGATAAGACATATATTAAGCAGGTGGCCTACTAAGTTAAAATGGGTGAGGGTATCTCGGATAAAATTGTCGTAACCCTCGCGCGTATGAGATGAGTTTGATGTGAGGGATTGGATGTTCTTCATTAGCTCGGTATTTTGATAGCTAGACTTATTGGGAGATGTATCAAATGAGCTAGTGAAGTTGATTGGGGAGTTTACCCAGGAGGAAAGGGTGGGAGTACTCTCTGGTGGAAACTGTACGGAGGAAACAAATTTATGGTTTGCATGTGGTTTGAAATAACCTGGGCTATATGCTTCAACAGAGGTGTCACTAGGGGTCTTATTCCAAAAAAATCTTGTACAGGCCTACTGTGAAGTGTATGGTTATTTACAAAATAGTCTTGATGGTTAGACTCGTAGCCCCTGTTATGGCTATTTACGTTAGCGTGAGAGGGGTCTGCTACGCGTAACTGGGAGGAGTTGCGACTGCTGTTATACATGGGAGCCGTTGTTATGTGATGGGTCGGTACTAAAGGGTGTGAGAAGTTTTCTTTCTGAGAGTAATTACAGTTGCGATCCTGGGGAATGTAGGTAGGGTGTGGAGTGAGAAACCTATTATTACCATTCTTATTCATGGTTTTAGGCTTCAGGGGGTGATTTGGGTGGCCAGTTCTCTGGTAGTTTTCGTTAGTCTGCGTGTAAGAAGGCTTGCTACGTTGAAGCCCACCACCCTTTTTGCAACTTGGAGGTGTTGAAGGCAAGTTATACGATAGCAGCGGGGAGAACCTGTTCACTGTTCTTGGGATACCTATAGAGCAGTTGGGTTCAATCTTACGTGTTTCCCTATTCGGTATCATGAGTTTTGTCTTCCCACCCTTTATTTTCAGAGCTGGAGTCTTTCGTTGTCTCTGTGAGATGAACTTACGTTCATTCAAGTCTACTTGTGGAATATCTTTAGGAGGACAAATTTTCAAGTGTATAGGTTTAGTTGGATGTGTGTTGTTACACGACTCACATTTTAGTACATTACTGAACGAACAGCTGGGATTAGTCATGTCGTTATGGTTTTTGGTGTCAGTTGGGGTCCGTATCTTATCCAAAGGTTTCTGATCTGTAGACTCATCTAGATCAACAGAGTGATCAGCCGTATGTGGAGTGGTGTCATGCTTATTGTTCGTGTGTTTTAAACTATTTGCTGTGTTGCAAACTGTCTCTGGCTGATTATTAACTGTAACACTCCCATTCAATTCTATCGCTTCGCGTCTTCTTACACGACGTTGACAGGGCGTAAGGTCTGGAGTGACTTTTATATTCTTGTATGGAATTAGTGAGCTAATATTTTTGCTCAAATTAATAAACTGCTTAGCATCGTTACAACAGCCAAACATAAACAAAAGGGGGCAAGTCGATCTGTCTGACTTTTTTCTAAGGCGGATGACTTTGCAGTTAACGTTCGGCATACCGCATGCTCTAAGGCAAATATCCCTTAACTTAGATGGGTGTGTGCGGTCGGGGAGGTTGTACACAACTGCATTGAAGGAGGACATCACTCTCTTCGTCACTTCTTCAGCCACAAACTCCAAAATACACTCAGCTTTAGTGAGTTGCTCAAGATTTCTGTCTGTATCAAGGCCCCATATATGAGTGAGGGGTGCTAATTGCTCAAGTTTGCCGTTAATTTCGGATAGAGAGTTTTGTAGCTGTCGGATGTCATTACTATATCTATCAGTATTTTGGTGTGTATGAGGTGGACCATTGGACTCTTTAGTTTTTGAAATTTTAGATTTAGGCCTTGGTAGCACATACTGTCTAGTAGACTGTGCTGACTTTTCGATGCACGTAGGTATAGTGTCTTGTATGTCAACCAGTCTTACCGTTGGCATACTGCACGTAAAGATAGAGGGGCTGCGACATGGAGAATCTGGTGACGATAGAGACATTTGTGTACAATACACATATTTTTCAGTAGTTAAAGGTTCGACATTGTCAAGCACTAAGTCGTCAGTTGTAGGGGTTACAGATTTGGACCTTTTATTTGGCTTAGAAGTTGGTGAAATTCCTCTTTTACTGGAGTTATTGGACATGATATGAAAATAAGTGAGCACAGTGCTCGTTAAATTAAATGTAATATCTGAGTATTAGTTGTTATTAAGTATTAACCTGGTTAATACTAGGATTAGAGACTGTGAGTATATAATGAATTGCAGATCTATTTACGACTTAAGTCCGCAATAGGTACAATACGAACTGGTAATTATCCGTCGAATAAAAACAAGTTTTTTCCTTATTTTTCGGGTAAGATGTACCCGATGTACAGGATAGGATGATAATCACTGTATAATACACCCTACAAAAGAGCAAGTCGAAAAATTCCTAAACCACGTGAAAAAATGTTACCACTTTCAAAGTTCGCGGGTAGCATCAAGCTTTGACTCTTCTGAAATAGTTTCCTCGAATTTATTAGGAATTTCATTGGAGAGTGAAGGATCATTAAAAAAATCAGCTTCCATCAAAACTACATCAGGTTTTCCACTATGATTCTTCCAGTGTCTATCCTACAGGACTTTAATAAAACCCTGACCAAGTACTCGTGACTGACCTGACTAGAATGTAACCATGTTTCCACGCCAAGAACCGACGAAGATCACAACAATACCAAGGGAAGAAAAATATATAACTCGTCTAATACCTGTGAGACTATCTGCTAATCTGACTAAGCAGATAACTAATTGCCCATATATTATCTAATGTATTTGTTTCACCGAAACTTCAGACTTGCTTATTTCATAATTTTGACCCTGAACTTCCCGCGTATATCTTGATTTGGCTTTTTGTCGTTTCGGCTCTAAAACGTAAATATCGGACGTTTGTAGTGAAAATTGTTGTACTACTCACTATTTGAAATAGTATAATAACATTTCGCAAGTTATGAATGATATTTACTAATTGGAAAATAGGAATTTGGGTTTCTCGCCAATCTATTGGAAGCTCCGAAGTTACAGAGTATTCGTATTTTTATCAAATTTGAATATAACACATGTTGTAAGCAAATCGGACAGCTATAGATTAAATTTAGTTAAAAAATTTACACTTTTTATTTTTATTTTAACTGCTACTTTGTGTTTGTTGTCACCCTTTGTTCTTGGTAGCGGTGTTCATAGTTAACCTCAACTCGACGCCACGCTACAAAATAATGAGGGTTATACAATCATTTGGTTTACCCCACTTCTCTGAAGTCAACTAATGGCATGAGTGATGAAACTCTTGTTACAAGATGACAGTTTGTCTGGATGGCACATGGACAGATAGCAAACCGCTTTGCGATAAATTAAGTTGATTTGCGCGCAAACGCTCGGTAATTTATTTGGCCAATTCAAGTGCAACACTAAAATCGTTTGTGCAGATTAAAAGAAGAAAATATAGTCTACATTGGTAATATGTGATCGACAGTTCGAGGGGAGAGATTCAAGAATTAACGTTTAATTAACGCTCGATTACATCAAAGCATGTTGGCAGGTAATACAAGACCTCAGATTGTATTGCCCAGAACTGTGTAGAGCGACAGATATTAGATTCTCTAGCATACGAGTGTCTTCTACTCTTAGTGGCCATGTTTCGCTGACGTAAAACAAAACAGAACGGACAGCCGTGCAGTATGCTCGTCCTTTTATTGATAGACGGATATCTCGCCTTCACCACAGGTGACGTAAGTTGACAAAAGCCAAACGAGCTTTTCCAATCCGTGCTGAGGTTTCGTCAGACACCAAGCCATTAGGGTTGATCAGACTTCCAGGATAAGTGAAGATGTCGATGCGTTCGACTACTTCACTCCCTGTTCTTAGTTCAGGTGTTGACGCAGGTCAGTTCTGAAGCAACAACTTGCATTTAGAGAGGGAGAAGCGCATCCCAACCATTCTGGCATTACTGCTCAGCGCTACCAAAAGACTCTGCATTCCCTAAACAACTATATTCCAGACACTTCATCTAACTAGATTGGATACAAATGTTGCCAGATATCTTAAAAACAAAGAATAACACTGCACTGTCACTTTTACTGAGTATTGAGGTGCATGCACGACCAAGGACATCTCATGAGTTAATATGCGATCGAAAGATGTTTTTGACTCTTAGTTTCACTTCGTTGCTTCCCTCAGGTTTTGTTTGTGTGTGTTCAAATGTGTTTTAACCTGGATCTTAGCTACTCAGTCCGGAAATATCAACGCAATACCACCCAAGTTTCAGTATAATTCAAGCGTGACTGCCCGCTTCAACACTATGCTCACAACACTTAATCTAACAGTTAGAAAAATAAGGTCAAACCTATGAATGAGAATATAGATTGAAAGTAGGCCGCTCACTAGCATTCCTCATCCAACTCTGTCCCGGGCAATCCTTTCCAGTTGTTATTCATCCTTTTCATGCTTGCCTTCGATTCCCGACGTAGTATGTTCTTCGGCCATACACTTTTCCGTTTCCCTTCACGATTCCAACTTAGCGCTTTCCTCGTGATGCAATCTGTTGATTTCCATAATGTATGTCCTATCCACTTCCATCGTCTTTTCCTAACTTCCTCTTCAGATGGAACCTAGTTTATTCTCTCCCACAATAGGCTGTTGTTGCTGCCAATGGTATCCCGTCAACGGACGTTGAGTATCTTGCGTAGACAATTGTTTATAAATACTTGTACATTTTTGATGATGGTTGTGGTAGTTCTGGGAGTTTCAGCTTCGTACAATAGGACTAACTGTCTTCACGTTCGTATAGAAGATTCTCACTTCGATGTTGGCTGACAGACAGCTGTTTTGAGTCCCATATTTTCTTCAACTGTATGAATGCGGCTCTTGCTTTACCAATCCTTTCTTTTACATCTTCATCGGAACTTCCTTGTTCATCAATGATGCTGCTGTCCAGGTGTGTGAAAGTTTTCACCAGTTCCAGAGTTTCTCTACCAAGTGTGGTTAAGTTTATTGGTGTTCTCCGTGTTGTATTTGAGGATCTCGCAATTTCCCTTGTATATGTTGAGGTCTACTGATGTAGAGGCTGGTGCTGCACTGGTTGTCTTCATCTGCATTTGTTGGTCTGCATAGGGTAGAAGAGCTAGATGATCTACGAAGTCCAAATCGTCTCGTTGCATCCAACCTGTCCATTGTATTCCGTGCATCTTCTCAGGTGTGAAGGTCATCATGGTCCATTCATTTATTTTTTTGCTTCAGTGTATTCAGCTTGTGTCTTGACTTTCTCTGTTCCTGTTCGGCTGTCTTTTTTTCTTCACTCTTGTCCAAAGTTACCATTGATATCCATTCCTTATGATTATGATGTTTGTTGCGTTCCAGAACTCCCTGATACGTTCAAGTTTACGCCTTTGTCATCCCTTTTCAATGGTCCTCCATAATAGTTTTTTCTTTGAGTAGATGTAAGGTTTGGAACCTGTTGTTCAAAGTTATCATGAATTGGTTGAGTTTGGCAGTATGTAAAAGGAAGGCTGTATTATTTATTATTCTAACACATAGATATTGGCACAAGGAGGCATCAAATACATATGCGCCACACAAATCTCATTCGATATGTGTGAGGGCTGTGATACTGCCCGGGTGCCCAAACCGAAGCAGGTGGTTTTCTTAGGGGCCACCCCCCGAGCCTTCGAAATGAAGGTTTAATCCACAAGGCAGTGGAGCATCGTAAGGAGATGCAGTCCCATGGAAGCCGGTGACCAACAATTGGTTCGTACGCCATTTGTTCCCGCAGGATACTGGAGCCCATGTGCACCATTGGTTTGGAATCCGGTTAAAGCGCCAGACATTCGCTTTTCGTCCTCTCATTTTCGTAAACAACACCTTCGCCACGAGAAGGCAGTGAGTAGGACTTCCCTGGCAGAGGCTGTATACGCGTGGCCGTGTGAGAGTATTTCGAGAGGGAGAGCGGACTCTCCCCACTCTCGGCCGTACCAGGGCATTTGGGGGCTTGAGTTTCGTCCTGACTCTCGTCGAACTGATCTTCATCGTGGTCATTGCTATCGTTGGTGGGTGCTTAACATTCCATAGTATTTATTGTGATTCCCTTCCTATTTGATTTGAAAGATGCTTCGATGATCCTGGATCCATGAGATCCCCATCCTATAATTGCATTACGTGCTTCTTTAAACAGCATCAGAGCAACTCCCTGAGCATGTGGAGCATTTTCGTCTTCGTGACTGGAGTACAGCAGCATCTTTTCCAAATCTATCATTTGCTGTCTAGTTTGGGTCCAATGGGTATCCTCTCAATTCCATTGCTATTTGATTGGTCCTCCCTATCTCCAACATTGTCCAGACATTCCATATACCTGTGAAATTTGTTGCTCTGACTATTTGAAATGGAAATTATTTCCGTCATAGTCTGTCCCATAAGCTGAAGAGGAAAAAAATCAACTTCGTTCCCCACTGTTACTGTAACTAGTGCATCCATCATTTTGGAAGTGCTGTGTTGCTTCATATTTTTTGGTTGTCATTTAGCCACACTCTTCACATGAGAGACTAAATAAACTCAACACTCTCCAAAACCATATTAGTCTCTCATGTGAAGAGGAGAAAAACGATCAGCTTCCCTTCCTAGATATACTCCTGAGTAGACGAGAAGATGGTTCAGTAAGGCGATCTATTTTTAGAAAACCAACGTGAACAGGTCAATATCTTAGTTATTATAGTTATTGCCCTGTGCAATACAAACGTGGTTTGATAAGGTGTCTTTTCAACAGACTCGACCGTATTTGTACCAATGACGCCATTGATGATGATGTTAAGTTGTTAAATAAAACGTTAATAGAAAATGGCTATCCTCTGAAATTCATAAATAGATGGAAAGTCCATGGTTCAGCGAGACCTACTGTAGCCTCGGTAGAGAAAAACCCTGTCTACATCACCTTACCATTCAGAGGTGATTCAAATAACCTTTTACTGAAACAACGACTTAAATCAGTCATCAATAAAACCTACTGCGCAGCAAAGGTCATCATCAAAGAAAGAACAAGGTGCATGCTTCATTCAAAACCTAAAGTACATGGAAACGATTGCGTCACATCCCACTGTGTCTACCAATTTAAATGTGTG